TAAATGATGATTAATTAAATAAGCTTTATGGTTTGTATGTTGAGAATGGAAAAGTATCTCATTGGCGGAGAGTTATCCACATGACTAACTCCTTCTGATTCTAAACATAAGACCTAATTAGTAGTACAAATTATATTACAACTTAGATTATATATTTAGAGCCAAAACAAGTATTAATGAATTCATAGTTACATAGAAAATATCATGTTGAATCTTGATCCAACTATTAAATATGGCGTTTAATTCATTAATATTTCTTAGCATTTTCCACTCCAAAATATGTATATATAAGTAAATTATATAAATACCTTATTCTTGAATGCACTAATTTTTCCTCATATTTTTAAATCTTTTCACTTGAATAATCCTTCAATAATGAATGCAAGTAGTAGACCAAAAATTTAGGGGCAACTTGAGCTCCCAATATGATAAATATTATTATATATTGGTAGTGTTTCAAATAAAAGACATGAGCATAAATTATTAATTGGGATGTTAATTATGTTGACAAATGATTACGATGTGACAAACTCAATCTCAACTTTCATAGTCTTGTGTTGCAAAAAGAGAAATATATATTGAGAATTTAAATTTTGTAAGTGAAAATCACATTAAAAAAAGCTATTTCTAATCAAATTTAACAACATGATATTCAAATTTAATGTATTAGTTTCAAATACTGTACACACACATCTATAAGAGATAGACGCAAGTGACATCTATTCTATTTATCTCTACAACATGATGCTGCTGTGGCTTTAGAGAAGCAAAGCTCTTCAAATGATAAGAGTGGGGAATCCTTGTTATTTTGATTCTTCTTTTTTTTTTAAATACTTTTTATGTTCGGGCTGTAGTCATGGGCCTAATGCCATACTGCTTCATTAAAATAAAAATAAGAAATTGAATTACAATTTACAATGTTAGTGGTAAAAAAAAAAAATGTTGGTGTAACATTCTGATTTTTATTTTTATAGTGCAGCTGAGTCATAATTAATTGAGAATTTTAGGTATGATTTGAGGTGTTTAAGGTTTAGAAAACAATAAGGATCAAACCAATAGGACAAAATTGTAGTGTGTTTGGGAAGAATTTGTATATTGGGAACCTCATGGCATATTGGAAAGTTGCATCAAGCATATTGTTCTATGAATACCACATTGCTATCTTATGAACCATAATATTATCTTTACCTTTTAATATAAGAGCTGCGTCAGTAGTCCAACGGTTAAGACAATATCTTTCAATAAAAAAAAACTTTTAATATAAGAGCTAGTTAGAGAGTTGTTTGATATTAAATATAAGATCTTAATCAATTTTGTCTCCTAAATTTATAACTTTTTTTAAAAATATCCCTATTAATTCTTGTAATGGGTTAGCACACCAATGGGTGATTCCAACGCACTAGGTTAGAGAGGATAATTTAGAGAAGACAAAATATATTTATTACAATTAACTAACTTAACTAATATTCTTAATCTTTTTAAATTAGTTATCTGACTCTTATATTAAGGATTGAAAGTGATATATATGCTTGCATTATGGTAAATTGATAATGTATTATTGGGATTTTATAGTATCATCTCGTGATTACTATTTTCCAAGAGATGGCTCAAGCAAGGATAAAGGAGAAGCATAAGAGGCTTGGTGAATAGTGACTTGAATAAACCATGTATCTCTCTCTAGTGTAGTTACGTGATCGCATGCATATTGCCATTTAGGATTTTTGAATTTGTTAAGTATATTAGACTCATCAACCATAATAGTACAATTATGTTTTGAATATTTTATAATTTGGTGGAAATACCATGGTTCAATTTATGTGTTTGGGATATTGGAATTATTATCATGATAAAAAGTATTTTGAAATAATTGTCTTATTGAAAATGTTGTATAAGCTGCACAGGTTGGTGTGGACTGTGGACTTAAGTCCATCTGGATTAGCTTAAAAAACACCTTTAAGAGATCCCTACTACTCCCCAAAATCTACCCTTATTGTGTGTTGGCCTATGTTGATTGTGTTGGAATCTAAAGCCTAACTAAAAAGTTGTTACCCTTGATTCAGGTAAAAGGGTTGGATATGGTCACTCAAGGAACGGGTTCGATCCTAGAGCATATTGCGGTGCTGGAAAAGACATCTTCAAAGCTAAAGTTTCAACATGTAACATCATGTTATCCTCCATGTAGAACTCTCACCCTCCCAATAAAGTTACGACGCTAAGTAGGACTAAGGTCAAAGGTTAATTGTCTTAATACAGGATTGTGGGTGAGCTCAACCTTTTTCTATCATTTTGTCACCAAAAAATAAAACTAAAAAGTTGCTGAGTGTTGTGAATTTGTGAATGAGAAATTGTTGAGTGTTGTGAATTTGTGATTGAGAAATGGTTGAGATATTATACATTAGTCAAAGGGATTTTTAATTGGGATTTTTCCGTCACAATTTAGTTAAATTCACTTAATTTTTTTTAATATAAGTTGGAAAAATAATTTACTTGAATTAACCACGATTGATTTGGAGTTAGAGAGAGTCGGCACCAAAACAATAAGCCGACGTAGTCATATGACTAATTGGGCCCAAACCCGATGAGAAGGTCGCAAGCATCAAATGCAAGGATTTTTTTTTTGGAACAAAAACAAAAAGGCTTCTTTTAGGTTCACTGCTTGAAAAATTCTAGTTGAATCACCAGTCCACGCACAAATGTGAATTTCTTTTGGGCCGAAAGACAAATGTGAATGCGTTAGACCTAACATTTATTGTAGGAAGTTTTAACTTTTTTTTCAACTGAACACATATCATCCCATATTCCCATTAAAAACCATCCTGGACGCTAAGCTCAGCCCCATTTTATTAATTTTTCATTAAACTGAATTATGAAGTCCCTGATATCGAACGCCAAACGTGAGATAAGTATACTCACTACGTTATTACACATGTTCCACACATACATTCAGAACGTGACCTCCAACTTTTTGGAGGTGTTTTTTTTTTTTCCAAATATAAATATAAACATGTGGCAAAAATATACATATATAAGGCTAGGAGTGCCCTTCACCTCTAATAGAGGCTATTTTAAAAAAAAAACTAAATCTACTCTATTCACAAGGGTTAGAAATTCAACTCCTAATCACGAAGTAATTTGGAGCAAGCAAAACCCTGTCTCACACAGACACGTCAATTTCAACACAGTCCTATCCATCACATGTAAGTGACTTCCAAAGATAGGGCGGTGCCTACCAAAACGGTTTAGTGTCCTAACTACAAAAGATGCATAAGATAAGCACTTTGCAATAAGAACTTCAGAAGAAAATCTTTCAGGAACAACCTCATGCTTACTGTTGTATTAGTCTATTAGGTAAACAAGTTTCCAATGCACAAAAATGATCATTCACCACACTAATAACATACGATTGGCATCATGCTACAACCAAATTGGCGAAAGAATACAGGACAGTAAGGTAGCATGTTCAACAATCTATAGCTTAGCCATCTAATGCTAGCTCAGGTGGTAAGAATTGGATAAGATGGATAGTGATATAGTATTTAAACCTTCCTGATGCAACCGGGGGGAAAAAAAATTCAACAGCTTTACCAGTCTAGGACAATTGATGTTGGGTTCAATTTTGGAAGATCAAAATAGGGTTTTATTTGAAATCACTTACAGCATACGAATGTGGAAGTGAACTGAGCATCATCTTCATCTAGAGTTCTTCAACTAAATCCAGAGATAGATGATATTCCAATATAAAGGGAGGGTGAGACAACTTTTGCATCTTTAAACATCAGATTTATATTGTAACATACATATGCTTGACAAAGGCATATAACATACATCCTCATTCCTTATCTAAATACCTTTCCAGCATAATTACATAAACAGAAAATCTTTGGATACCCATGCATCGTCATTCAGCCTTTAGACAAGTAAACTCCCCAGTAAAAATACGCTTATAAAGAGGGCACAAAGATGACATGGTAATTACAAAAAACAAATTTTGTAAAACATTTTGTGGAACGCAGAACGAATAACTCATTTTTATAAAATAATAAGTATTAAAAATTGTTCATGTTTATGATTCTTTCAGCATTAGAGAACATGGAAAAAAAATAAACACGATGAAAGATTAACAGCAAGGCTCTCTGATTATTATAGTCAATTAACCAAAGGCATCACCATCACATTTAGTCACTGAAAACAATTTGGCGATTCTTGACCTACCTGCTGGTGATTCTCCTTAAGACAGAAAATAGAAATTATTTATAGCCTAAACCTGCCAGATGATGAAGGTTGAAGTGAACAAAGCATTTTCTTCATCTTGCATTCTTCAATCCAATGTACAAGTCAAAGTCAGATTCTATTGACTAAACTGATCAAATATGTATACTCAAAACAATTAGCATATAAGACTACGTATCACAGATACTCGGTCCGTAAGATAAATGTGCCTAACAAAGGGATACAGTCATTCTTTTCTATATATTTTCCAGCAAAACCAGAATTAAATCAGTAAATCTTTGCAAATCGATGGATGTTTCTTAAACATTTTAGCAAGTAAAACTTTGCAGTTTATTAAATGAGCGCACAAAAATTAAGAACTAGGGGTGAAAGAGATATCAGCCAATGATAAGCTCAAGCAAACAAATAGAAAACCATTGATAAACAGAAAGACAAAGAGAAAGTTAGGAAATTGTGTCCTTATCAAACCAGACCACCTTATTAAACAGCCTTCCAAATACCAACAATCCCGCCAATGGATTTCTAATTACAGAGTCACTAACATTGTAAACGTAAAAAACAGGACACAAAAAAAGAGAGAGTAAATGTTGGAAGGTACCAAATCCATTTAAATCGTCTAAATAGAATAGCATCAATCTACAATTGAAGAACTGGAATCCAAATCTGATTGATAAATCCTGTGACTTTACAGAACAAAAACTGAAAAACAAAAGCCTACAGAAGACAGTACCTCCCACTTCTATGATCAGTAAACGTTCAATAAACTTAAATTATACAGGGGCATAGGGTCCAGCCGTACCACCAGAAAGCATAGGTCCATACGGAGATTCCTGATCATCCATAACAAGATCTTCGGTACCTCTAAAAGCCGCGTGCAGACAGACCAGCGCAATCCCAATCACTAGCGATACGAATACATTAAGCCATACATGGGTCAGAATCAAAGCCACCACAGTGATTATACCAAGCCCAATGGCCACGGCTCGATCGTCCAACACTGCCAAGTTGAAGACACTGACAGGTTCATCGCGCGAGAAGTAGAGGAAGTACCATCCAGCGAAAACAATCAAGAACACAATCATCGAGAAAGGGTGGTAAATGAGGCTGAGGAAGAGGATGATGAGAACGATGAGGGTATAGTTGGAGAAAAAATGGGAAACGTTTTGGGCTATGCGGGAGGTGGCGTCGGAGATGGAAGAAGGGAAGCTCAGGGCGGAGAGGTCGAGGAGCTGGCGCCATGGACGACGCGTAGCCATGACCGATTGGCTGGTTTCTTTGAAGGTGGAGAATAATTCAGTAGTGGAGGACATCGGGGACAAAGTGAAAATGTGATGTTGGATGAAAAATAGGGTTTCGATTGAAGAAAGAGAAAAGTCTAAGAAGAAGAAGAAGAAGAAGAAGAAGGAGACGATCAAGGAAGCTAGGGTTTGGCGCAGGGAAGGGTTCTTCGGACTAGTCAACGGAGTGTTGGAGTCGACGAGGACGAGGTGCCGCCCCTTCCTACAGCGTTTGGACCGAAGCTTCGGAAGCTTGGATGGGTTACCTCCTATAATTAATACTTCTCCGTTTAAAACCATTTAACTAATTTGATTAGATTAAAAAAATTAGATAAATTAATTAATTATAAAAAATATGATACATTTTTTTAAGACATTATAATTATTTTTCTTAAAACCCCCTCTCCCTTTTCTACTTGATTATGATTAAGGGAGTATCCATAAGAGTAATTTAGAGAAAATTGATAAATATAAAAAATGGGTCTTATATTTAGCACTAAAACCAACTTAATAATTAGGTCATATATTAAGGATCGGATAGGTATAAAAACTAATTGTCTAGATTAAGATTAAGAAAGTTTATTAGCTAAAACTAACAACATTTAATATATACAACTATTTTAAAAAATATGTAAATACAAGAAACAAAATGAATTGAGATATTACATTTAGAATTTGCATATTAAAAATTAGAGGTAATACTACCTCTGGTCCTAATTATAAGAGCCAGTTGACTAATTTGACGAGATTAAAGAAGTAAGTTGAGTTAGTTATTTGTCCTAAATAGGTGTTATCTTTTCTAAAATATCCTTACTAATCAAGTGTATTAATTAGAACTATAATTATTAGAAGAACTATCTTGAAAAAAATTGAGTAAATATGATAGATAAAGTGGATTGAGGTCTTATATTTAGGATCAAAATAAAAGTCAAACAGGATCTTCTATTAAGGACCGGAGGAAATATTTCTTTTCTTCTGGTTTTTCTTTGAGAAATTCTTTTCCGAAAATTTAAGATAAAATTAACGAAAAAGTCTAATGATGCGGTAATGAGGGCAAAAATTTCAGATAAAAACTAGCTTTCATGCTGTAACAATTTTGAAATCTGGCTAGAGTCTAATGAGGGCAAAATAAAATTAATTTATGGAGGGAAAAGACATTATTATCCCATGTACTAACAAATGGAAAAAGTTATAAGAAATATAAGGGTGCTATTAACAACTAAGCTTGGATGAAAATGACATTGACAATTAAGCTAGGGAGTTTACAATATATATAAAGTATAACTTATTTTGTAGTGTAATTTATACTATAAAATAAGTTTTATATGAGCAATTTACAAAGAAATATGAGGATATTAGCAACTAAACTTAGATGAGGTAATGACACTAACAAATAAGGTGAATCCTTCTATTTTCCGTTGTAAATTTACTTATTCTGGTTGTTCGCAGGCGTTTTCCCACTGACAATATTTCAGGGGCAACATCTTTTTACTGGAAAAATTAATTTCAGTTTGCCTTGCTAAGTTGCACTGAAGTTTTCAGATTTTTGTGGGGCTCCTAGAAATAAAATTGTTATAGTGGCGCTATTTGAAATTTCCCCTTTTTTGGCCAACACTAGAGGACTTTGAATTTGGAAATTAATAAGGGAAAACTTATTTGGGGTCCTTCTAATTTTATGTCATTTTCAATCAAGTCCTTGAAGTTTTTTTTTTAATCAGCTCCTTTGGGTTTTCATTGTTACATCCGTTGGCCCTTATCCTTTAAAATTGTTAACAAACTCTTGACAGATGTTTGAGAGGACTGAGTTTGCTGACAGCGGAGTTTGAAGACTGAGCAGAAGATACCTTTCATATCGATGATTAACAAGGTGTCCTTCCCTTCCTCCATTTGCTTTTGTTTGCTACTAACCATAATTCTATTGTGTATGTAAAGGAGTGTGTCAAAAGTGAAGTCCCACATTGCCCAAGAGAAAGAGAGGTCAAGTGTATAAATACTATCATACATTATTGGGCTAGTGAATGGGCCTAGAGGAGAAGGAGGATCTCGCGCACACGACAACAGCCCACTGGAGGGAAACAGTTGAAAACTGGCGATTTCCCCCCTGTGCGTGAAGTAGAACAGTACTGGGCACTTTTTATAAAACATTTTTGCAAAATTAAATTTATAAAATGGTGTTAAGAGAGCTTATCAGAAAATCCTTCTTTTGACTGTTTATTTTTGTAATAGCCGAAGGTTACTAAATGTTGGGAGTTTACTGAATGTTGGGAGTTTTTCAAACCATGATTAATCCTCCATTAATCCTTAAACCGTTTCTCGTGGATTGATATCTAGTAACGTCTGGAATTTATTTCTTAAACGTACCCAATATTCATAATCGAAGGTATAATTACAGATTATTGTAGTAACATATGAAACCGACGAGTTAATTGTGTTTATGGTGGTGCCCAACAGTTAGGTCCCCGAGGCCTATATAAAGCGGTCTAGGACAACGTCTTTTGCACCCTGCTCTTGAGTTTTCGAGCATCTGTTCCTCCTCTGTGTTTCTCTTCTTCCCTCTCTGTGTTTCTATGCTGTTGGGTTATATTTTTCTGCTATTCAGTCACCCTGTTTTCTGCAAGAAGGGTTCGTTTAATCCTAGGGAGTGCCGCATTCATGTTTACCTATGGTGGCAGAATAACTCTTAAGGACAGGGTTTATCGGCACGACTCGGACCAAGCTGATACACACTTCCATTTCCTCAACAATCTTAAGAGTTATTATGGAGACCCATAATGATGCTATTGTTAGGAACACTGACCCTACTGTCAATGTTGCCTATGCCTCGGTCTTCACTGTAGTGCCACTACCCAGGCCATTCCTAGATGTCTCCAGGATTGATGTGTTCGATGGAAAGTACTTCAAACGGTGGCAGGAACGTGTGTACATTGTCCTTGACATGCATGGAGTTGCCGCTGCTCTTACCCAACCTGAACCCCCCACTGATGTTGACCAAGCCTAGAAGATTGCTTGGGCAAATGCCAATAAGGTTTGCCGACATACACTCATTAGCACTTTATCTAATGACTTGTTTGATGTCTACTGTGTATACAAGGAGGAACATAAAATATGGGAGTCACTGATTGTGAAGTACATTGCTAAGGATGCTGGAAAGCAAAAGTTCGTGGTTGGGAACTTTTGCAAATGGGAGATGGATGAAGAGAAGGATATAAAACTTCAAATCAATGAATATCATAAGCTACTGGAAGAGCTCCGAGCTGAGAAGATAAATTTACCAGATGAGTTCGTGGCTGGGGTCCTGATCGAAAAGCTGCCAAACTCATAGAATGACTATAAGCAACAACTGAAGCATAACAGAAGCAACATTCACTATCAGACCTAATCACGCACATCATCATTGAGGACATGCACATCATCGTTGAGGACACAAACTGGAAGGCAATCCAGACAGTTAAAGGAAAGGAGTTGGCAACAAAGGCAAATTTGGTAGAAGTAAAGCCGCATGACAGGAGGTACAACACTAAACCTAGAAATAAAAACTTTGATTACAAGCCTAATGATTCTAACCCCAAATTCAAGAAGAAAGGAGATTGCTTTATGTGTGGAAAGCCAGGTCACCACGCAGCTCAGTGCAGGAAAAGGGCCGGTAAAAACAATAACCGTAAAGGTAGAAATCCTCCTAAGCCAAACATAAATTTGGTGGAAGGAGATGACGATGAGATTATTGCTGTTGTCTCACAAGCCCTTGTGATCTCTGATATGAGGAAGTGGGTAGTAGACTCAGGTGCTACCAGGCACATCTGTGCGAATAAAGACATGTTCACCTCATTTGAAGAAGGAGAAGACCATATTTATCTGGCTGATTCTCGAACCACAAAAGTTCTGGGAAAAGGAAAAGTTGTCCTGAAACTCACGTCTGGAAAGACCTTAACACCGAATGAAGTTCTGTACGTGCCTGATGTTAGAGCTAACCTATTTCTGTGGATCTGTTAGGGAAAGCTGGGGTTAAGGTGTGATTCGAATCTGACAAGATTGTAATGATAAAGAATAATGTTCTTGTTGGGAAGGGCTATTGTAATCAAGGATTGTTTGTACTAAACATTGCTGAAATGAATGGAAATGCTTCTTCTGCTTACTTGCCTGTGTTCTATATTGATTCTTTTGATATGTGGCATGCTAGATTAGGACACATAAGTAAATCTTATATAAAAAGGCTTTATCATCTAGGGCTAATATCAAGGATTAAAAATAATATTCTTAATAAATGTGAAGTATGTGCAAAAACAAAACATAAAAAAATTACATTTTCTTACTCAAAGAGAAACCGAGTTGTTATCCTTAATACACATTGATCTAGGTGATTTGAAACAAACTGAGACTAGAGGTGGTAAAAGATATTATGTAACTTTTATCGATGATTTTTCAAGGTATATAAAATTATATTTGTTAAGAAATAAAGACGAGGCTTTTGAAAAATTCCTCTCATATAAAGCTGAAGTAGAAAATCAATTAGATAGAAAAATTAAACGAGTTAGATCTGATAGAGGAGGAGAATTTTTACAATTAAATGACTTTTGTGAAAAAGAAGGAATTATTCATGAGGTAACTCCTCTATATTCCCCAGAATCTAATGGTTTGCAGAAAGAAAAAATAGAACACTAAAAGAAATGATGAATGCTTTACTTGTAAGCTCTGTTGCACCAGATAACCTTTGGGGAGAAGCCATTTTGTCTGCTTGTTTTCTACAAAATAGAATACCCTATAGAAAAACAAATAAAACTCCTTGTGAATTATAGAAAGGCTTTGCACCTAGTCTTAATTACTTAAAAGTGTGGGGGTGCCTTGCAAAAGTTCTATTACCAAACCCTAAAAAGAGGAAGATAGGTTCTAAAACTGCTGATTGCTTATTTATCGAGTATACTCAGCAAAGTACCGCTTATCATTTTATGGTTTTAAAAAGTGATGTTTTGGGTCAAAATACT